AAGGCTGAGCCCCAGCAGAGAGAGGAAAGGACAGAAGAGCCAGAGCAGCTAGACAGTAGTGCTGGGGTGTAGCAGCAGTAATGATCTTTCACTGTACTTCACAGCCAGGCCTCTGACTGCCCTCTTAACCCATCTGCATGTTGATCTATGTTCCTCACTTCACAGTTTGAGTCCATAATCACTGTTACTGTGTTTTGCCTTGTTTTCTTAATGCTGTTACCAATATATTTTTGTTTCTTTGCCAGTGGAAAACAGAAACTGAAAACAAAAAACTAAACTGAAAAAACAGAATAATGAACAAGTATATGCATCCATGTGACAGGCAGGCAGGATATTACAGGTTTTTATTGCTTTCTGTAATTCTAATGGCTCTGTCTCCAGGAAGTGTTAATTGTGCATTACAAAATGGAGATGTTGTTCTTTCAGAGGTCTCCCCTCCTCCGCAAGGTGTCTGTCCTTCACTCCAGGAGCAATCAGTGCATTAACCTACCCCTCCCCTCTTCTATTGCACAAGCATCAAACCAGGGAAATGGAGCCTGGTATAAATCTCTTGTGATGCCCTGGATGAGACAGTTCTGCAGCACATTCAGATTCTGCCCTTCTTCAACCCATTATGCTGCTTTTCACAGCTGAATCTCTTTTGGTTTGGTTTGGTCATTCCCCTTGCCCAAATCCTTGTTTCTTCTCTACTTCAGCGGTGATCCCCCTGACTGACTCTGAACACAAGTTGCTGCCTTTGCACTTTGCGGTCGATCCTGGGAAGGACTGGGAGTGGGGAAAAGATGACAATGATAACACCAGACTGGCCAAGTAAGACCTTTCTGTAACATTAGTGCTAAGCAATAAAATGTCTTGAGCTGTACCTGATTGAAGTACTGGGAGAGCTGCCACCAGAGAGGACTTTATTCATGTGCTCTGGTGACACAGGAGAAGACATGGACGGGGAAGACATGGGTGGGCCTCCAGCTGATGGTCACAGTTCAGGCTGCTGTTGCATCTCCCCCTGTTAAAAACTTTTGCTTTTTCTTACAGGCTTTTTGACTGACTGTTTCCCTCTTTTTGTTTTGTCCTTAGTTTGATTCTGTCTCTTGAGGCAAAGCTTAATCTTCTGCACAGCTATATGAATGTAACATGGATACGCATACCATCTGAGACACGGGTAAGGTGAACACACCTCGGTTTAAACCAGATGAGGGATACAAGGCAGGGCAGGGTGTTGTGTAGGTCCACTGCAGTAAACACCTGTGTGTCCCAGCAGCAGGGACAGGTCACTCATAGCTCACTGTCAGTGCGGTCATTTATAGATTTTTCTGGTTATTGGTTTTAATACCAGAATTGCTTGTGTATTTTGTTGCAACTGGTACTCTGTTCTGAAATGTATTTTCTTGCTTAATCTTTCTGTTACTTATTTCTGTAGTCTGTGTAGTTCAGAAAAGCCTTAAAATAGACCTTTTCTCACCATTGTTTTCTGAGGACTTTGGCTTGCTCTCCTAGTGCCACTGTCAGGTCACCAATCCACGTCCTTTCTCCTTCTGAGAATACATTTCCACCCCTGGAGAGCTTCCAGTTTAGAGTGGCTGACAAAAGGCCACAGACTGGTGCTGAACTGGACCCTGGTACTCTAAGAAAGCTATTTTAGAACCATGCCCCGCTGGCACCTACTCAGCTGCAAATTTCTCTGCAAATTACATTGACTTGATTGAGGGGTTAGTCTGGAGGCAAAAGGTTGCTAGGAGAGGATGGAGGTGATTTAGACACCCTACTCAGATGGGATTTGAAAGGAGAAACAGAACACAAAAGGAGAAAGGATTTAACAAGCTGCAAGAAAGGGAAAATCCATTTTTCTACGGTTTCTGGGGTGGTAGCTACCACATCAGAAAAAGGAGAGCCAAAATGGTCCTGTAGTTGTAAACTGTGAGCCTGAACCTTGTGTTACCTCTCCCTGCCTTGCACTTGCCACATGAGCATCGTCAGGTCACTTTAGCACTCATTTTATCCTCTGCCAAGTGGGGATAACGGCTCTGCTCCCATTGGGTTTGTGGAGTGGTCAGGGACTCCATGGAGAACAAACCCTTGAGTACCCAAGGACAAGAAGCAGACGTGCATTTCTGCACATCTCCCAAGCTTCCCCCCCCCCCCCCCTTTTTTCTTTTCCTCATTATGGTTAGTTAAATGCTTCATATTTCTCTCTAGCAGATTTTAGCATCATGGTGTTTGAAAGCAAGACTAGATTTTGCAGGAGTACATGAACACAGCCCCATTCTAAATTATCCTAGGATCCTCATTATTGCATTTTCCAGAAATATGGGGTTTTTACCTAAAACACGTAGTGGAACTCAGACTTCTGACATGAGCTTTATCTGCATTATCTTTGCAGTAAGGATGAAGGCACCTCACAGCATTCCTCAGTCTACTTGTTGAGGTTTCATATTCCAGGCGAGATGTTCAGCTCTGCTGCATCATACCTGTGACTCCCATGCACCAGGGCCCTGAAAAATGAATAAAGTAAATTAAATAGGCTGTTTTGAACATGATGAATTATTAAATATTGGTGCGTACAGGTTTATGTGCTGCATTGCCCTTACAGCTTTCAGCAGAACCTCTCTTCCCTTCCATGACAATATTGTCAGTTTCTTTCCATGCTAGTTGAGGCAGCCTGTACTGTAAATGCTCCCTATGGAGTGGCCAATCCCTGTGTGCTGTCCAGCCATTCAGCTGGCCAGTACAAGCAGGGAGGCTGTGCTGCAGCCTCCCCCTCGGCAGGAGCACTAACTCCCATCTGTCCATCACCCAGACACTGATTTTCACAGAACCTCTGCATGACTGACCTCTGTTGTACAAATGTGCTTGAAATGAGCCAAAAGCTACTGTATGACCAAGCAAGATACATAGCACAGCCAAATAACCTTTATTTGGTGAAGAAAAGAGGCTAAAAATGTCAGTGCATAAATTAAAAAATACATTTTAAATTAATGTCAAAAACCATACTGGATTGGGGGGGGGGCACGCTTTAGGGTTTTTTTGCACCAGGTCCCTGTATGAAACTGATCTTGCTGTATCTAATTATAATTACTTTTCCATAGCAGGCCCCTTTGGCTCAACCAGAATCCCCTACAGCTTCAGCTGGGGAAGATGTTCAGTCTCTGGCTGACTCAATGGACTCGGACCGAGATTCCATCTGTAGTAATTCCAATGGCAATAATGGCAAAAACAGTAAAGAAAAAGAAAAGGACAAGCAGAGAAAAGATAAAGACAAAACCAGGACGGATTCGGTTGCCAATAAAATAGGAAGCCTCAGTAAAACCCTGGGAATTAAACTGAAAAAGAATATGGGTGGTCTTGGAGGCCTGGTGCATGGCAAAATGAGCAGAGCCAATTCAGGGAATGGAAAAAATGGCGATGCAGTAGAGAAAGTCAAAGAGAAGAAATCCAAGTCTCGAAAAGGGAGCAAAGAGGAGTCTGGACAGTCTGCGAGCACCTCTCCGTCTGAAAAGACCACTCCATCCCCAACCGACAGAGCAAGCAACTCACCCATCGAAAAGACAAACGCTAAATCCTTCCCTGACAAGCAGTCCGACCCATGGAAGTACAGCACTGACGTGAAACTCAGCCTCAATATTCTGAGAGCTGCCATGCAGGGGGAACGGAAGTTCATTTTTGCTGGCCTTCTTTTGACCAGTCACAGGCATCAGTTCCACGAGGAGATGATAGGCTACTACCTGACCAGTGCACAGGAGCGTTTCAATGCAGAACAGGAACAGAAAAGAAAGGATGCTGAGAAAAAGACTGCACTGAATGGGTCATCTAGTAGGAAACTGGAGCCAGAAGCATACTCAAAAGAAAAATCAGAAACATCTCCTCAGGATAGGGCATCACCCGTCTTGCCTCAAAGCCATACAACTCAGCTGGTTTTAAAATTTAAAGACCGCACTAGCCCCACTCCTGGGTCATTTTCTTCACCAAGTAATGGTGCTAAGAAAAATGGACCCATTCCAGTATCTGCCCACTATAGCCATACACCACCTGTCCAAAGGCAAAGTGTCATCCATTTGCATGATGTCAACTCCAAGCCATCGAGCTTCCAAGATGATACCTACAAGCCAGTGGTTGGCACCTTAAAGACCTGTGCCACCTATCCCCAGCAGAACAGATCACTGTCTTCTCAGAGCTATAGCCCAGCTCGGATATCCGGTATCCGCACGGTGAACACAGTGGAATCGCTGAGCTATGCCATGCCTACTGAACACAAGTCTCAGACATACACAAATGGGTTCAATACTGGTGATATTAGAGACTGCTTAGAATATGCGGATGAGGATGCCCCACAGACCTGGTTGAACAATGATAAAAATCAAGGCAGAAGCACAGTTTGCCCAATATATTCCATCCAGCAGAACCGCTGTAAGAAGGAGAACTGTTCCTTCTATGGTCGTCCTGAGACTGAAAATTACTGTTCATACTGCTACAAAGAGGAGTTAAAGCGCAGGGAGAGAGAAAACAAGGGACACAGGCATTGAGGATGCTCCCGTGACTACTTAGTTTTACCATTTTCTTACTTACAAAGTAAACAGTGTGGAATGGCAGCAGAAGGAATCCTTACAAAAAGAATAAAGGATTGATAAGTAAATAGGCTCTAGCTTTTCGCTTTTCTGGGGCAACAAGGAAATGATAGGATTAATTTATCATAAAAACAAAAATATTATTTTCCATTTTGTCAGTGTCTTTTTTACATGTCCTGGTAAGCTGAAGGGTTGTTTACTCCTTTGTCAGTGCTGTGTATATGTTTGGTCAAAACTTTACTAATGGTGCCTGAATTTACACTGACATCACTCAGGTAGTAGAATGATCGGGGAAGTCATAATACCGGAGATGTGGTGGTGTTGCAGTAGGGTAGTATCTGCCTGGCAGACAGACGAAGTTCTATAGCTATTATGAGAGTAGTTTTTCCTCTGCAAAACCTAAATTTTTCATAGCCTTTTTTCCTTTTTCTTTTTTTTTTTTTTTTTTTTTGGAGGGTAGTGATTTGCATCCTGCACATTTTTAACACAGCAGCATACTGCATTACTACTAACGTTTGTACTCGCTTCAGTCTGGAATGGAGTGATGCTGGGAAAATGGGAGTGAAAGGTCTGAATTCAGGAGGGCTGCAGCTCTTCCTAATTTTAAGTTTTTACCACTTATTTCTATATTTCCAATTTAAAAAAAAAAAGAATTAGATTTGAGCCACTTTTATTTGTACTGAATTTTTAAACTGGCTTTATATTATGATTTGCAAGATTTCACACCACCAAGCCCCCTCACATAGTGCAGTTTTGGGTGCCTGAATTTCAGCAGTATTTTCCTTGCTGTTAAAATGGATAGAAATGTAAAATTCAAATATTACTATATTAGACTTGGAAAATGTGATAACTAGCTGGGAAATTGAAGCTCATTTTAGAGCTGAATGAACTGCTTGTCAAATCAAATGTATTGCATCAGTTGATTCCCCTAGCCATTGCATGAATTAAATGGTTTGTTCATTCCTTTCTCAACATAACTGACAGTTGCTGTGAACCTGACTACTCCTGAGGCTTTCTGTTGGCTCCACCTCTTTTTGAGCCTTCTCCTGGAGTGAGTTGCATACTCCCCAGGAGGTGGCAAGATGTCTGTAGAATACCTCCAGCGTGACTGGCAGCTCCTAGCACAGGTTTGCACAGGTCTGATATCCAGATATTTCCATAAGTATCTGCAATACTATTGAAAATAGAAACAGCTCCTTGAAGCAGACACCACACAAATACTGTTAAAGTAGATGTGTGACCCTGAGAAGTTCTCTTGCATATAGTACTAGCCATTTTTGCAGCCCTCCACCATCAGCTGACATAGTGTAGTAAGAAGAGCTCTGTAGTCATTACAGCTGTAAGCTGTGGCTCTTTTACTCTATGCAGAGAGCTCATTTTCCACAAGTGGTTCACATGCTGCCTTTCAGACTGCCTACTCTGCCTCCTGAAGGTGCAGAATGTGAGTTCTCCCTTACTAATGATGGAATAGCACTTTTCTGATTTGGACAGGAAAGGTTCTTTGCCAAAGAGTCTTTGTTTCTGATTCTTTTCTGCTGTACCCCATTTTTTACTCTTGCCATGGGTGGCACTATTTCATTTGTGTGCAGTTAATGCTAGTCAGCCTTGAAGCCAAGCCTGAAGTAGTCTGTGGAATGAGATACAAAACTTAGGTGGACATGCGCTGGCCTTCAGGGAGCATGTAAGCTTGTGCTGATGTCCCACTGAAATCTGTGGAGCTGAGCATATACTGAAAATTGACCATATCTTTAGTTACTTTGCTGAATGGGAGGTTTAAAGAATAGTTGCAAAATAAGTCTGTTAAATAGCCACTCCTGGAAAGTCTCAGTCTGTGCCATGTTAGCTCTTCCATGAATTACCTGTACTTCGTATTTCTTGTTCTATACTGAGCATACCTTGAATGTGACTGAATTTGCATTCTTTCACAAGAGGGCAATACTCATATGAGTAATGAGAGGTTAAAACTCCATGGGACTTCTGTCCTTAAGGTAAGCACATTCTAACCCCTTGTCTTGGGTAACTGTTGTGATTACATGGAAGTTCCGTGATTGCAGATTATGCTGAAACAAGCTGGATCACGTTAAACCACATCAAGTATACTTCATTGTATTTGTCACTGAGAAAACTGACAGGATAAAGAAAAAACATATTTAAGAAGTAAAGTTGTGCTTAAAAAACAGCAGATTAGCAACAGGCTACACCAGCCCAGGTTATTTATATCAGTTGTATCCTTTCTGAATTAGGAAAAAAGTAACAGCACAAATGTAAAAACAAGCAATTCCCACGAGAATTTGTGTTTTCCCACTTTTCAGAGTTGTTTCTATGGGATGTTTTTAGTATCGATTGCTCACCAAAGAAAGAGGTGTGCTGCTGGTCAGGATTTAGATAAATTCCTGTGCTCTGACTTAGTGACTAGATTGTACCTGTTTGTTAGATTATTTTGAACAGTTGGTCTTCTGAATAACAACAGGCTTGTCTGAATAGGACACTGAGCTTGTGTTCACTGTTAGCCTCTAGTCCCTTAGGTCCTGTGATATTTACCAGTACTGGATGGCTCATTTTAGATTATCTGTTATATGAAATACTGACAGAACACTTTCTAGTTGTGCCTGTTCCCTCAGAATCCTTTTCTTGGCATATCTTCAATTAATTAGCTTAATATTGCTGGTTTATTTTCTAATATCCCACTATTCTCTTGTCCCTTAAAGTCTGCTATTGAAGAGAAGGTGCAGGCCTGCACTGTGCTTTGCCAGTTAAAATCTACCCACCATTTCCAAATGGTTGTCCTTTTTTCTGGATAAGTCATACTCTGAGTTTTGGGGTTTTTTTTTCTTTCTTTTTTTCTTCCTGAGGGGTTTGTGGCAGCTGTCTGAAGGAGATTCCATAGTTGGTGCTAAACAGTCCAGAAGTGCAGAAACAGTGCCCCCTCCTGAAGAAGCCCATTAAAGTCCCATTAAAATCAGGGTCTGGCTGTAAGAGGAAAATCTCTGTCTCTTTTTTCTTTTTTCTCCAGAGGGAATGCCCCACTGCTTGTGAGTTGCATTCACCGGCACTGGAAGATGTGGTGTCACTCCTAAGCTGGGTGTGAGGGGGAATAATCTTCAGACCTCTCAGAGCTTGTCAGTGTTACCACATAGTGCAGACCCCTGCTTTGGTTCTGGAGGACCCTGTTCATCTCAGCTGCTGGTTGGCTCAAGTGGCCACAATACACACGCATGCTTTTGCATTTGTGTGTGCTTCTCCCCCAGCCTCCTTGATAGTGAGTCAACAATTACAACCGTTGTCAGGATTTCAGCAGTACAGACCAATTCCCAGAACAGATCCATAATCACCAGGAGATGTTTAGGCTGGAGGAGGCTGGAATTTTTTAACGTGTGAATGTGCAATTTTTCTAATTTAAGATGGGCTTTTACACCTATTATGCAATTTTTTTGACTTTGTTCATGAACTGATACAAAGGTCTGTTTGTGACAGAGGATGCTGTATACAGAATGGGTTTCAGTCACACTTTATATTAAAGTTCCATTTAAAGTGCTGGACTTTACAAGTACTTTGTCAGATGCGGGTGTCAGTTGTAGCACATGGCTAACAAGCAGCTCATTCAGAAAGTGGTGTAGGTTATCCAAAGCAGCTTCAGGTATTTTGGATTTTGGAACAGTTGATTAACCTTTTGTTATTATGATTCATTAAGCCTTGTAAATGCAATGGAAGCACAGTGTGTGACCTTGCTCTCTTTAGCAATTAGTTCCATATTCCTAAGTCAAAGGTTACATTAATGGGATGAGTGAAGGGAGGATGCTGCACTTAAAAAGTTTTGTGTTGTTTCTTTGTTATCAAGAATTAGGCCAAGTGAATTGTTCAAGCGGTTGTTTCTGCAATTGCAGAGCTCGTGATGTGAGCAGTGTTCCCTGACACACACAAAGTATTGAGGAGATGTGTTCAGTGCGGGTTTGCACACTGCTGGACTGCAGGTGGAGGCAGTCTGCTGAGGCAACACCAGTCCTTGCATGTAGAGGCATATTCAGGGTCATCTACTTCTCGTGTGATGGATGTGTAGATATCAAAAAAATGAACAGCACAGATCTGACAAAATACTGCCCTCTGATTCTGCAAACAGCTCCACTGGTGCTCAACTTCCCCAATGTGAAAGTCTCCCTGACATCCTGACGACTGCTCATTTTCAAAAACTTAACTGTTAAGAAGCAGCATTCATGTTTGTAGGATCAAGGCGTTAGCCTTCAGCCAGTGCTGGTTCCCCTCAGGCTGCCTGACCTTACTCTTCCAGTGGGAGGATGGATGAGAACTTTGCCTGAGGAGCAGAGGGAAGGCTGAAGCCTCTTTGGGCTCCATGTATTGTCCTGAAATCTGTGGGCAGGATCCTATTAGCAGTGGGGGCCTTAAATCAGGTGCTTTGTGGACGCAAAATATTACAAGCTGGATGTGAAAGTAAAGTACAACCTCGTAAGGAAGTAAGGTCTGCTAACACTGGGAATGTTTTGCACAGGCAAAACCCAAATGTTAATAGAAATCACAGTGACCCGAAATCAAAACAGGTTCAGAGAAGCAAATCAACAGATGCTGACTGTAGATGGCTTTTCAGCTTAGTGTCTTTTATGTGCCTGTCAGTGTGTTTGAAGAGCATTTGTTTTAAGGTATGGCAGCTTGTTCAGAGGGTCACCAATCAGTATCTAGCATAGAATTTAAATTATTTCAGTAACAGACACTCGCATCTATTTTAATTTGCACATTAACTTCCAGTGTATATGACTGAAATACTATATTGTTAAAATGAGAGAAAACCAACACAGACGTGTTTGTAAGTATGTTCTGTTTGTAGACTTAAGGCTGTATTATGTTGGGATTCTACAAGCCAAGTTTAAATTGTAATATAGAAATTATTTTTATATAATTTTCCAAATATGCTACAGAGCAATAGTTTGCGCCTTTATTATGAACAGGGTCATCATTTCAGTAGGTTGCCTTCAGAAATGCTGGTGGAAATTACCCATGAAAAGAAAGCTTTGTAAATGCACTTGTTGTTTCTAACTGTCTGTCGTGCACATCTATAGCAGGTGCGAGTTGAATATATGCTTTTCTTTTAATTGAAAAGCTTTAAATTTTTCCTTATATATTTTGATACAACGCTATTTCTCCCTATTTAATTCCATGCTTCCTTCCAGTCCCTGCCAATGGCCATTTTTGTAAGCAGCTTCTGAATAAAGACTCATCTGGAAAGTTTCCTTACCAAATGAAACATTTCTGCACAGACATTGACTGACCTGGGGCATTCAGGATACACCCTGAATCCACTGGAGTAGAGTTGCTTTGCCTTTTTTGAAAACAGAGATTTATTATTCCTTCCAAATGAACATCAAGAAGGAATACCCAGTGCAATCATTTAGCACCTGTGGTAAGAAAATCATTCTAGATCATAGAAGTGTCATTCTCTAATTGGCAGGTACACTGTGTCTTAATAGGTATCAAATATGCATTAGCTTCTTGCAGATTAAGGTGTTCAGATTTAATTTCTTCATAGTTCTTTGTACTGTACATATCAGTTACTGGTGAACTGTGCAAAAAAGATGTTGCAAACTAATGCATTTGTTAAGTTAGGATTTAAAATTCCATAACTTTTGTGGTTTAGTTTGTTGGGGTTGGTTTGTTAAGGTGTGTACTGCAACCGAAATGCTCAAATCCGGGTGCCCAACATGAAGGTTCTGCATCTAGGTTTCTCCTAATAGAGAGGCTGGGTTTAAGATACACTGAGCATCAATTTCTGTGGGAGCAAAAGCTGTTTCTTGGTTTTGGAAAACCAAGTGTGCGTTTCTCCAGTGTATGTTTGGGGCTTTTCTTTATTGGTCTATGCTTCTTTTCAGTCCATGGAACTTACATTTTCTCTTTAGCAATTTTCCATGTGTGAACAAGTAATTGGACTTACTCATAAAGCGACTGCTTGAGTGTAGAGAGACTTGCCTTGTACCAAAACACCATATAATTGTCCATTTAACTGTTGCATTCTTAACGGGGCTAGTGTATTCCACCGATTTTGGAGGGATATAAGACCTTTTTTTCTTGGCTATAATGATCACTCTGGTTTGTTTGGTTGGGTTTCTTGCCTCTCAAGTGAATATGCTGTTCTGATTGCTGTTTTATCTCCCGTTACCTGAATGCATGCACTGTACCAAGAGAACTGAAATGGCTGATGCACATTTGCACTGTGGAACACGCGATATGGGTAAAGCCACCATGTTCCAAACAGCCTTAAAATGATGACTCTCTGGGGACTGAGAGTCACTTAACTGGATGCAGCCTCTGTCCCACTTCCTCATTTAACCACGACTGTAAAACACCCTAGCCTGCTGTGGTCTGCAGAACTGTATGCACAGTCATCTGAGTAACATCTCATCTTAAAAGAAAGGTTTCTTTAAGAAATTGTAATTACTTGGTAAGTGTCAGGAAACCTCCATCAAAAGAGAGGATGAGGGTAAAAATAGAGAGATTATTATGGTAACTAACACAGTAACCATGTCACCAAAATACTAAAAAAGAGGGAAAATAGTTAAAACGTATCAAAAACTATTTCCTGTCAAGACTAGAAATTCTGTAGCTCTTCCTGTATTCTGGGAACACGGAAATGCTGTTTTGCCATTCATACCTGCATTGAATGTAGTCTCTGATTATGTTGCAGAGGATTGCTCATGGAGAAGGAGGGAGAGAAAAACAAGTTTTCTTTCCTTCTTAAACTAAGTAAATTATACTCCAGTGGCAGAATCCTCTGAGCCTGCACAAATATGATCCCATGTTAGAACTAAAGAGTGCCTAACTCCTATCTGTGAGTTGTGTATTTAATTTCCATTTTGTCCCTTTCAAATGGTGGGGTTTTTATAAAAAGGGAGGGGGGAGTTTAAAGAATAAGCTTGTGTGGTAGTGCCCCAGTTCTTCCTCTGTTCACATGCAAATTCAATATAAACATGAAAATGGAATGATCCTGCAGTTGCACTTTCCCTCTCAGGCAAGCGGAGAGGTAAAAGCTGTCTGTTTAAATCCCATGTGGCTGCTTTGCCACATAACTAGAACCCCTTGGCACAGGAGCTTTGTCTGATGAAGCCTGACAGTATATCAGGAGCCTGCAAGCCATGGCCAAACTAGCCAGAATAGAGCAAGTCTGGTCGTTCTTGCCTTTAAACACATACAGTTTATGCTGGACCGTGGTGTCAGAGCAGCATCTTTTCAGTAAAGATGAAGTGGAACACTGCCTTGTTGTCATTTGCCTCCAGTTTTAAGTAACAAAGCCTCTTCCCCATGCTTTTGGTTAAAATATGCAGGAGCTGTAGCAGCAAAACAGGGCACCTCAGGCTCAGAGAATGCCCTGCATCTCCTTTTAATGGGCGTGCAATCAGGTATGAACTGAAACACAGCCATGCGGGCGTGATAGAAACGCTCTTGTCTCTAAATTTTGCAAAGTGTGTGCACTTACGTTTTAATACTAACAGGAATTAATCAGTTATTGTATTGTTTGTTTGCTCAAGACTGAGTACTGTAAATACAGTCTTTGTATGATGCATATAGTGTGTGTACAGTACAAAAAATGCTTTTCCCTCGGAGCCGCTCAGAGCTTTGCATGCACATGATCCATAAACCAAGGAGAACAAACAGGATTTAAGCCTAGATTAAATAATGAATGTAATGAGCTACGCAGACCTCAGCAGCTAGGAGTTCCCAACCATAGTATTCCAGGACAGCTTTGACAGTTTGGTACAAAGCTGTATCCCGGTGATCTAGATCAGGTTTGTGCTCTGTCCTGGGAAGGAGCAATTCCTTCTGTATCTTTCCAAGCTCCTACCCTGCTAGTGAAGCAGGTTGCAGATCTGTGTAAAACTCTTGTTTTCTCATTGGAATCTGTCTAGAGTTTTATTTCACATTCAATTTTAAGACATAAAATACTGTTACAAACTTTCCATAATCCTTGAAGTTGACTGTTGTGTGGCTGAAAGACTTTGTTCTCCTTGGAAGGCCTCGTTCTTCCTCATGGATTCTTGTGACCTAACATTTTTGTATGGAAAAGTGGAATGAACCATTGAAAATATTAATGCTGTTTACATGTATTTCTGCCAGTCAGTGTACTTTATCTTTTTGGTTACACAATTCTGTGGTGTTAAAACCTAATGCCTCTCAGATATGGGCACATTTTGAACAACAGCTTGAACTATTATACCCAAAAGGTACCTGTAGCTAATTCATCATAACTTTATGATTACTGTTGTATAATATGCCCTCCCCAAGTCACTTGTACATCTTTTTTATTTCTATGGCTAACATTTTTCCTTTCATCTTCTACTTGCTTAGACAAATTCTAAAGCTCTTTGCCCTTAAAGCTCGGGGTAGATTTTCCAGTACAGAAGATGTGGCTTTCTCAGTTCAGATTGCATACAGAGTGGTTTGTCTCCCCAAACATAAATTAAAATAACAGAGATGTCACACCCTTAGTTTATAGAAGTTCATTTGCTCATTAACTGAGGGTCTCTGCTCAATTCTAACCAAAGCTTATTATATGAAGTTTAAGAAATCAGGATAGGTGATGTGTCTCTTTCTAGTAACCCAGCAAGCTCAGCATTCTTGAGAGTGCAGAAATGTACCATAGATGGATTCTTACTTGAACTCCGAATTTCGAGGAGAGAGAGTGCTTGGCTCTCACCGGGGCTTAAATAAATGTTAGTAAGGAGTAAAGTAAGTGTGGGTGATTTCTGCTAGCTAAGAACTCAAGTTCTTGGGAGTCTTACCACCTTCATTTTTCAGAGTCAGGATTTGAGTTCCTTGTTGTCTTCTATAAATTTATACAAATTTAGCAGAGATTGATTTAGGAATTCAGTAAACAATAAAAACATCATAAATTTATTTACAGCTGGAGTGACTTCACGTTTCTCTGTTTGACCATTTTCATGCAAAACTTTTATTCTGTATGAAAGGAGTGGATTTCTCTTTTCCCATTCCCTTCCCTATTCATAATTTCAAGACACGATTGGTTGCAGTCCCTTCCGTCTGCAAACAAAACAGTTGATCATTGTTAAGATGACTGCCATATTGTGTTTAAATCCATTGTTCAAAAGAAACAGGAGCATTAATTAATGTTGAAGGATAATGATTTTTTTTTTTTTGTTGTGAAGTGTGAATTCTTGAGAACCTTTTCTACATGCAGGTTTCATTCAAATTCAATTTAAATGTCATTTTTAATCGGATCCATACTTTGACAAAGATGACGTGCAAGAGCTGTTTTTAGCGGTTGGATTGTTACTTTGTAAAGTATTAAAGCACTAAACCAATTTTTGCAATAGGTAGTAAAACTTGCTTTTGTTTTGGAAAACTTCCAGTTACAACTGTTGCACTTTTTATAGCAGAACTGTATTTAATTTCTTTCTTTTATGAAAGATTACTCAAAGTAACTGATAGCTCTGTAATCTGTGTGAATTGGCTTCTCCATTATTTGAAAGAGAGAGAAGCTATAATGCCTATTCAATAAAATTAACTTATTTCTAAAGTATCCGTATGCTTGAATTCTTGTTTGTGATCTCTGTGTGCTCTCCGCAGTGTGTGCTGGGGAAACACTAAAGCCTAGAAAAGAAACCGGGCCCCAGGAGCATGCTGCACACCCAGGGAGGTTAATTGGTTCATCACAAGCTTTTGTTCTGCTGCCGCAGAGTTTGCTCCATTTGATTTCAAGGTTAATTTGGATCAACTGGGTAACGCTGACAATCTGAGGCAAAGGCCAACAATCAGGCACTGCCAGGCCTGCTCAGCTTTCATTACCACAGAGTATTCCTAGTTCCCAGGCTCCAAAGGCACAAGGCTCCTCCGTGCAGAGGTACAGTGCTGCCAAGCCACTGTGCTGCTGTACAGCCTGGGCTGTGATTGTCACTGTGACTGGCCTCAGGGCATCTGTGAACAGGCAACAGGCAGGATATCTGCAAACAACTATGTTTGAACTGCAGTGGTTTCTGAGAGAACTCCCAGTGCTGCAGAAGTCATCTTACATGTGGTAAGTAACTCCAGTTTCTGCCCTTAGATCTCATTTCATTCTTGTCTGAGTTCTCTGTATTTCTCCTTGAATTGCTTGTACCCACTGATGGGGCCATCCCTTGACCTCTGTGTTAGGATAAGCAGATTGTGCTTCCCAAGGTTGTTGCAAAAGTTTATTTGCAGCTTCTGGAATGCAGTCTTTCTCATGCCTGTGCTTCAAGTCTCGTCTGGCCTTTTAACATCTCCCTTGATCTGGAGATATCTGAATGAGACTGAAAGCTTTTTGTGAAAAACACTTCAGCTACAACAAGAATTAACTCACTCAGACACTGCTGCAGACTATTAGAGAGCCTCTCTTCTGAACTAGATTGATTCTGTATAAGAACTGACAGTGTCTGTGTGTCAGCACAAGTTTATTTCCTAACTGAAATTACTGTACACTTACTCATCTTTAGTCTTTCTAGCCATAAGTTGTACAAGGAACTCTTAATTTCTTGCTCTTCCACCTAGTATTTTTCAGAGTCCTTGCTTTGTGAGCTGGAGTCCTCCATCTGGTGAGTATAGCCAAGCTGTTTTCCTAAATAACCTGAGTTAATTCTGATTGTATCAAGCAAGCTTGGTTTGTTTGTACCTAGTTTACTAAGCAATCCACATTACTCTGTACTAGCATCCAATCATTTGATCTTCTAATGTTATTAATGATTCTTTCAATCACTATCCTGGTGACTGATAAAACTGTTAGTGTGGGGGTAGGCCTCTCTTGAGACATTGGATTCGTAATGAATTTCTTATCAGATAAACTTCTAACATTTTCAAGTAATCTAAAAATGTTTGAAGGGGCCTATTTCTACAACATAAACATTTTTTATTTTACCTTTATTTCTTTCTTGATGCAAGTTCCATATTAACTATTTTATTATTGTCCCTATGTTCACAATGTGCGTAAACAGTTGTTAGACATCATTTGAATTTGAATTGGGGATAAACCAGTAAAATATTTGGAGAAGGGAGAGATGAATCTTTGAATAGGTCTACCTGTTCTGCAGATCTCCAAGGTATCCACCTACTAATATGGCAACTCTCCATTAGGACTTCTTTCTTCCTTCTTCCTTTCTTCATGATGCTGTACCTAGAGACAGGAAGGAAGCTAAGGGTCAGCATACCTAACTCTGGAGCTTATGGGCTTGCTCAAATCTCTGCATTTGCTAGAGTTTTGTTAAGTGGTATGATTAGTTTCTAGGAATCTGGTTCTTAAACAGAAGGACATTGTAGTATTAAACTTATCTGCCTGGCTGATTGATACTGGAATTACTTTACCTTTATTGCAGCGGCACATGAAATAATTCTTGAGCACTCTCTTTGTTTTGATTTAAAGATCACAATCATACAATTTGTTTAATATGATCAGACTCCTGAATCCTTCTAGAGCTTTATCAACTCCAGGAGAGCTTCAGGAAAACATAGGGCAGACTTGCTTGAAGAACTGAAATTTACACTTAAGAAAACATGTAAAGACTTCCCTGGGGGAAGGACATTAAAGCAACACAAGGCTTTACTTGCCGAAATCAAACATTGGTTGGCCTCCCCAGCGGGCATCCTGACAAAGATCTAAACATTTGGATTCCCTCAACTTGTTTCAGAGATTTGTTTCCCTTTCATGCTGTGCTCAGAACTATCATGGATGAGTGTGCAGTCAACCCACAAGTTTGGAAAACAGCATTTCAGTTTATGCCGCTTGTTGGTAATCTCTCTTATTAAAGTATCAAAGAGGGAAATTGGTGTTCGTAAGTAATGACTCCTTTGGGTCACCCTGTCAAATGGCTCTGTTTTGGGTGACCCTCCTCCTTTGGGGACTTGCTCACTGCATTAACCCACACTACAGTTGCCCCTGGACAACTCGGTACCAGTTAACAACCATCTACTCATCTCCTGCTGTGGGGATGCAAGAAGTGGTGTCGGGATCACATACCACAGCATAGAAACCTAGTGATAGATGCTTATTTGTAATAGCATATAGTGCTAACTGAGCTCCTGGGGCTGGAGAGATGCCTAAAGAATTCCTAGTCTCGCTCTGTTGTGCCCCATGTTACACCTGCAAGGTGAAAATACTGTTTTTCTGCACAGATAAATGTCCCATCACCCTGTTCCCTCAAGGTCATAGAACCATCTGAGTAAAAAAGCCATGGTTCTCAGAGCTGTGCACAATAATACTGAATTTAGTTTCTTCATTCTACAGCAAATCATCTGCAGGGTGCTCACAAAAGCTGAAAACTGTTGGAGGGACTGGAATGAAAGCAAGGCAGACCTGAGCATCCATACCTCTTGTGCAAGAGTCAACTGCATGTAAGTCATGGTATTGTAATTCAAGGGATGTTTGGGGTTTTTAAGTAAAATTAATTAGGCTTCATCTGCCAATTGTAATAATGAAGTAATGATTAATTAATTAATGATTGTTCAAGTGAGCAGGAAGGAAGTGGAGCAAATGGCAGTGGCTAGTTTGGGACTCAGTTAATGCATTTTAATTATTACATATGTGAGTATATTTACTACTTAGGTGCTTATGGGTAATGTTCAAATACCATAATTTATGTGAACAGAGAAGAATCATGAGTTTAATTTGGTATCAGCAGTTGTAAAATCTGTTACTGACTTCTCATCATCTGCACAGTATTCCAGGTAACTCCCCCCAGTTCATATAGGGGGCATGACGTGCTGTGGTATGGAATACCCCTTTGGCTAGTTTGAGTCAGGTGTCCTGTCTCTGCTTCCTCCCAGCTTCTTGTGCCCCTCCTCACTGGCAGAGTGTGAGACTGAAAAGTCCTGGGTCAGGGCAAGTGCTACCGAGAAACAACTAAAACATCAGTGTATTATCAGCATTGTTCTCAGACTAGAGCCAAAACACAGCACTGTACCAGCTACTAGGAAGGAGAAAAAAAACTGTTACAGGTGAACCCAGGACACTGGGATTGAATACAGTAACCAATGCTTTGCAGAATTAGTTAGGTTAATACATTACCAAGCATGTTACAAATTTGCCACCTGAACTAAAGAATTAGTAGGGTCAAGAGAGGATATGTGGAGAGCACATCCTGCAGCTCTAAGGCAGGGCTGTGCTGACAAGCAGGCAAGGGCTAATTCTGCTTCACTGTCCAGATTGTTCCTCTGCAGCAGGCTGTGGGTAAGGAGGAAAGCGCTCGTCCTGTGCTCACATCAGCAACCTTTGCGTGTCTGTGAGGTACCCACACATGTTGATGGCAGTGGCTGTTGTTACGTACATGTCGCCTAGGAGCTGGATGAACTCACAAGCAGAAGATGGCTAAGGAAAGGCTTAATTCTTCTGTAGGCGATGGTAACATGAACATTGATAGATGACTGTCATAAGGCTGAGGGACGCGAATCTAAACAACTGCTGTTAGTAAAATAATAGCTGAATTTTGAAAGCATTGCACACACTGTTCCATCACGTTTTGGCTCTCATATCCAAGAGGGTGGGGTTTTTTCTAAGAACCTCCCATCTTAGTTCATAAAACAGATTTTCTGGCCTCACAATAGCCTTGTTCTTCAGGCAGTCTATTTTAAGGGCCTGGCGAGGGTGCTCAGTAACTTGGCTGTGATTTTTCTCTTGCTGCCTGATGCCATGCACAGGACTGGGCAGAGCCTGTGCCAGTTGTTCTGGAGGTCCCATCCAGCCCCTCCCAAAGCAGAGGAGCTGGGAGCCTCAGCACAGCTCAGGGCTACACAAAAGCAGCCAGAGTACAGCTGTGATTTAAAGCTGGGCATTCAGCTGTGCTTCATTCCTGTTTAGTAACAGTTAAGTGGTGAAGCACTGTCTTCTTGAAATGCTTCACCTCTCTTAGCCAATACCATGTAATACACAATTTTTACAGTAATCTGTAGCATATTTTTATTCCTGAAATATGACCCCTCCTTTTCAGTCATCTTTAATCACAGCAATTTTGTGGAGTCCAAATTTTCCATTCTTGGGCTTAAAGCTTGATTTTTTTTTTCCTTATTTCCTTCAGTATTAATTATTCCTCCTAAAAATAGGCAGGCAGAGTCCAAAAATACCCAGTGGAGCCTTAATGGAAGGTTTCTTACAGTGAAGCCAACAGCCAGGCATGATTTATTCACCCAGCCCCGTTGTTTGTGCAGCCCCACCCTCCACAGGGTTCCTGTTTCCTGGGCTTGCCTCTGTTCGCTCACCCGGGTTACTCAGTATCGCTGCATGCGAGGGCATGGTAAGGGGAAGCCGTTCAACAGCCGGTCTTCAGGAAAGCTGGAAAAGCTGGGGAGCCCTGTGGCTGCTTCCAAACCCTCGGCCTCTGGGAGCGACTCCTCTCCCGTGGGGCGGGAGGTGGATGTAGGTCTTTTCTTCTGAGGGGTCTGCAGCCAGCCCTGCCTGCTGCCCAGGAGCACGGGCATCCCCCTTGGCCCTGGTCCCATGAGCAGGGCTCACTGCAGCGGCCGGGAGGGATTCGCAGTCCCGCACAAAACCTTCTTCTTCCTGTCAAGTCATCGCGTTCCTCCCAGCAGGCTGCAGATGGCCTCCCGAGAGTGGGAAAGCTGGGGATTGGCTTTAGGAATTCCAAGTTAACAAAAAGGCTGCGTGTTAAACCAAACCTGCAAGGATGTGACAACCTCATGGGGCCTTGTTGTCTGTGACAGCAAAGGGTTTGAGAGTCCTCAGTATGCAACAGAGAAAATGGACTCGTCTCAGGTCTGATGTGGTGACCCTGTGTTTCGGGTGCAGGAAGTCATGATACAGCCTGGCGTGGGGCCAGCCCCCTGTGGGGGTGCCCGTCTCATTACTGCGTTCTGGGAACATAGCTGTGATGTTGATTTTAGCTGTATGCGACCTTCCAAGTGTGGCTCTTTGAGAGCCCCAGACTGACATCTTCTTGCAGAGGGTGGGGCACAAGGCTTGAGAGAAAATTTACAGGGTCTTTGAAGTGCAAAGCTTTGAAGTTTATGAAAGGTAGCAAATGCCTGTTGCAGTTCATGGTCTGCGGAGAATCTGGAGGGTAAGACTTTAAACCAAAGAGAGCGAGTGAGGTATCTACAAGTAACAGATGGGGGAAGTGTGCCTTTCATTTTTTACCTGTTTATGTAGTGGAAAGTGAGCTCGATTCAGACGTGTGTACCAAACAACACTGTTGGGCTGTTCCCAGCTTTTCTTCCACTGGGAGGCTCTGAGTGTGCTCCGACTGCTGACATGAAACGCTTGTGGTGGAAGGGGGAGGGAAGAATTTCTCTCTTCCCGTTGCTATTGTGTTTTATTATGTTTTGTGTCTGTTCAGTTTGTCTCCAGGATCAGAGAAATGACTCAGAAAGTTATTTCCACAATAGGAGAGCATGGGAAAACACAAACATTGGTCTCTTAAAGACACACAGTCCTGTTTATTACACACTGACATGCCTTACCTTCTAGTCTGTTGGGAATACTACCTGAGCAACCTTACTTCTTCCTCTAGACCCCCATTTGGATTTTGCACCTTATGCCTTTCTTTTTGTATTAGAAAATGACATAAAATTGCCCTACCCTGTACTTCTTTATCGTTTTTCTATACTTACCTTCCCCCTCTTTACCATACCTTGCCTATTTCTAGTACCTTCTGTCTGTTTGCCACAGTTGTAAATCTCATTCCTCTTACTTTGTTGCCATACACCTGAACCCCTCTCTCTAACCAGCACCATCTCTCTGGTCCTTCAACTGGCCCATTTTTCTCAATGGTGTTCTCTCATCCGCCCACTGGAACCTTCCCTCTGGGAGATTCCCCACTTGTATCTGGTAGGCCTTGGGAAGGGCACTGGGGCTGGCTCTCAACAAGCCAGCTTGGGCAGTGTAAGCCTGTGCGACCCTTTGTCACGTACCTAACAAGTTCTAATGCAGCAGGCTCAGACCTGCTGCAATGTGCTCAGGCAGGCACATTTAGCCTCTGATGCAGAGAAGAAACATCAGCTCAGCAGGAACCTGCCAGCAACAGCATCTTAGAGCCCTTCTTAGCCCAGTCCCTGATGCCACCCCCTCTTTTCCTGCTGAATTGCTCCAGCCAGCGGAAACCAAAGATTAAATCAAGTTCCTGCCAGTGCCAACCAGGTAGGACAGGCCAATCCTTTATTTACAATTACAATGCAGCAGCAATTATGCTCCAGAGCTGTTTTTTCCTGGTGAGGTGGTCTCATTGCTAAGCTCAGTGTTTAGGTTTTGTTAGCAGACCGCTGGGGACTGATCTTGCCTGAAACCCCTCTCAGGTTTTCTCAGATCTCTCTTGTTCACTATTCTAATATTTGATTTTCTCCAGAGTTGTATAATGCAAACTTGTTCTCTGACTTGCCCAAAGCACAAATCTGGCTCCAAGTGTTTCCCTCTTCCCCTCTTGCTGCTCAGATGTCTGGGCATCCAGACTCCCCTCCCTTGTCTGGAGCATGGATTGAGAAATCTATTAAAGTAAGCCCTCACTCTCTATACTGTTTGCTTGCCAGCAACGCATTGTAGCTAGACAGACATGTGGGCTTGCCTGCTTGAATCACTGTTTGACTTAGCTTCCTCCTCTGCTGCTCTTGGAAAAGATGATGCAGTTTCCGGTCATCTTTAGAGGTGCTGCCTGGCAGCCCTGCGTGTATTCTGGTGCAGTATGAACCCTTCTGGTCAGCTGCTGGAAAGACTGGGCATGTCTCGTCCTCACCTCTTTTTTGTTTCAATCTCCATCTTATCTCACTCTTTTCTCCTTTTCTGTGGCTGTGTATTTATATTTATGGCACTTTAATCTCTTGCAGTCAAACAGCAAAGCATGCCATGGATGCGGTTCCTTGAACAGCTGGGGTAATGAGCTGGAAGGGGACTGCTTTGAAGCCAGAAATTATTACAGGTCAGTGTAAATAGAAAAACCCCATCCTAATTCCAGCAGTAATATCGCTTCTCTTCTGAACTGATGGACTAGTGCCAAGTCTGTGACCATTGCATGGTAAATGCTGAGTCACAGGCGAAACAGAAACCCATACATTTAGCAACCCGAGAGGAAAAGTTTCTTTTGAAGGTGAGAATGTGTGAACCTACATGTTTCAGAGAGTGTGGGTGTCTGGGTGGGGAGGCACATAACATTACAGTACCAAGGCAACAACTCTATACTTAAACTGAAAAGGAAGCATATCCTTTTGGAAGGATTTGTTTCTTTTCTTCTACAAAGGTTAGGAAACAGTCTTTGACTGTTCTTTGGTTATCAGACATAAGATGGATCCTTCGTGTAGGAAGACTTCAGAAATGCTACTCTTCAGGGACTATTTTAACGAACAAAACAGTGTTTAGAAGTGATGTTTAACCTGTATTTTCAAGATACTACAGACTCATTCCTTCACACAGAAGAGGAGCAAGAGTCTGTATCAGCTTTCTCCAGCATCAGTGAAAAAAGACTCCTCACCACCTTCCCCCCAGCACAAACACTGAATTCAGACAGAGAAGACCAGGTAGTGGCAGAAGCCAGACACGTCACATTAACCCTTTCCATAGGAGCCAACTAGCAAAAAGCAACCAGACTTCTGCAGCAGCTAGAACAGAAAGCCGAACCTGTCTGTTCAAGTGTGAAAATCGAATGGGGTGACAAGGACATCTGGGGAAGCAGGGTGATGTTAGTTACTTCAGTGGATCTGAAATGTAAGAGTTCAACAAACGACTGATACATAAGGTCTGCAAGGGAACTTCTGCTCACTCAGGTATTAGATGGTTTACCAGGATTTTTGCTTGAGGACTTTCACAACCCAAATGCTTCAGAGAATCCCCTGCCTAAGATTTCCCAGTTCTAACCTGGGACATTGAGAATAAGCAGGAAGAGGTCATGTCATGCTGATGTTAGTAGCGGAGAATGAAACTCTCTTCACCTGTGGCTTTCTGCTGGACAAGAGCACTTTGTCTTGTGTTCCAGTGAGGGCTCACCAATAGTTAGGGCAATCCACTGCACACGCATAGACTGTTACGCTCGGATAACAAGCCCTTTCATACTGCATTAGCACAGTTAAGCATTCTGTTACTTAGTGAGCTATAAAATAGCAGTTGATCACAGACACATACAGATGTACAAGCGAACGGCGCACGGGCAGATAATGAACAGTGCTGGCAGTTCAACACTGCAACGGGGAAACCTGCTATTAAAGATAATGGCTAAGTTATGTGCTCTGAAAAGTTTTCATGACCCCTGCAAAAGAAAATAGCCTCATTTTGAAGTAATTCCCACAACTGGATGTTTTAGCTTTCCTCTTCCAATGGCAGTCCACCTTTTTAAATTATTTTGCAAACAGTTAGAATGTTCTATAGACATACATTCATTCTAGGGTACAGAACTGTTTTCCTGGGAGTGTAGCGGTGCTTTCAAAGGACAATAATCTGCCATTGCCTCGTGTCTCTGAGGAAGTCACTCAAATCTCTTGTGTTTCAATTTCCTCACTTTAAAATTAGTCAAAAGCATTTCAGGGTGCTGTGAGATTAAATTACTGCTGTTTGGATGGGACATTGCTACTTGCAGAGATGGTGTCAGAAATTTGCAAAGAACTGAACTTTGAAAGTATGGTTGGCTCTCTGATGTTGAACTCATGCATATTAATCCCGTAACTATCCTGTAAAGAAAAAGAGTCTATGCCAGCTTTGAGAAAATAATTTCACTGTGCAACTGTAAAATACTGCTTAAAGCAGAGGAGAGTACAAAACACATCACAGAAACTTTCAATGATTAAAAAATAGATCCCATTTTAAACAGCAACAGCACAGGATGAAATTTAAACACACATATCAAACAAGGTATCAAGCCTCAAACAAACAGCAGAAATATTAACAACTGATGCTTTTTAACTGACACATAGAGAAGGAAATTAGGTTATTTCATAGTTATGTTTTATTTTGGGAAATGTAAACGTCACTAACCATGCATACAAGTTAAGACGATATTTTACAGCTGTTAATTTTCTTCTTTTTTCCTTTTTTTTCCCTTCTTTGCTGTTGTTGCATAGGACATTATCACAATATATAATCTATGCGGTACAAAATACATAAAAAGTTACAGCAGAGCAAGAATAGATGAATGTATAACTGTACAACTGTAATACTTCAATGTAGTGATTTACAGAGTTGCAAAGTGACCCAAGGAAGCATTCACATGCTGCTGATAAAACTGTACAGGTGAAGATGACCTGGCAACATCATAGTTCACCAAAGCTGTAAGTATATATGTAAACCCATGCACACTTACTGGCATATATATTCCTGTCACCCACACAGGCATGTGCTTGTGAAGCACACACATGCACTCACACACAACCCCAGAATGTGTATATACATGCATAACTGCAGCTGTGACCAGAGATGGAACTCAACCACAAATCTCAAAACACAGGTTCACACTTTCCAAATGCAGTGGCATTTGGATCTAGGATTTTGGTTCAGCCCCATCACTAGTTCTAATGAAACGGATACCTATTTTTGCTCTGTAGACATCCCTTAATTATTTGGCGTGTACTGTATATACATTGCTGTGTATTTATGTATACACACACGCACTATGCAATATACACATATATACATATTTTTATATATGTGCATATGCTTATAAATCCATAGATATAGATATTTATATATAAAAAACCCCTATACCACTGAATAGGCTTTTGCATTTTATATTCTGGCTTATGGGGTAAACAAGTATAATTCTGTTATTTTCTTCTGCCTAGATATAGCTTTATCCCAGAGGAGTTAAAAATACAGACGTTCATCATACCATTCACTGACATAGACTGTATGTTAGCACCTAATGCACAAATGTGTGGTGTGATGGAGTAAAAGAGCACCTGAAAGTTGGTCTGTTGGCATTACTTTATGAAATTACTAAATTAAATGGCAATGAAAAGGTAAGCTTAAAGTATGCAGAGTTCATTTTCCTTACTCTTTCTTCACAGACCATGTTCCCCAAAACAAAAATGCACTTCAGTTGTGACCGTGAATAGCGAGAAATAGGTAAGTTCCTTACACAGCCTCGTACTGCCTGGCTGCATGAACCATGGAAATCACTGAACAGCTGCACAGAAGGTAATGAGGTTTTAAAGGTGTACAGAGGCTCTCACAGCTCAAAGTTATTGCAAGGGTTAGTGCAGTGAAGAGGGTAGGATATGTACATGAGTTGGGTGATACCATCAGAGACTTCTGATGACTTGCTATATATACATACCTTTGCAGTTATGTAAACAGATAATATGTGTATATTATAAAAGCAAGGAACAACTAGTCTGCAGGTATAAACAATTCTCACAATAAAATCTAGCTGCCAGGAGTTTACCAGGACTGTTTTCTAAGAATCAGGATAAAAACCGAATTTATGTGGCCATTTATGCACTTTAGGCCTTTGCAGAGGATGAGGTTAGTGGAAGGGGTGAATGAGCTTCTAAGAGTGTCTTTATTTTCATTTGCATTGTGGTAGTGGTGATTTTGCTTGCACCCATTTCGTATAGAAAGGCAGATAAGCTCAACTTTTAGAGAGGAAGGTGGAATTATGGCTGGAGTAACACAAACAAACTTTCAGGGCTTTCTTAATAACAATAAACTTGGCTTTATATTCTGAAATTAAGAGGAAAATAAAACTAGGGTGATTCCGTAGTTTGTGGGGATTCACCTTAAGAGAGTGCATAGGGAAAGGAGGAGACAGGAGGAGAGATGCACACCCCTCCAAACAGAGAGGACTGGGAAGAAATCTGCACCTTGCCAGAGCAGCATTTCCTGAGTGTGTTTTGTTGCTATGCCAGGAGACAGAGCTCACAGTGCTGGGTGAAACAACAGAAGTGTAAAAATCTGAGGTTGGTTTGGATAAGCACGCAGATTTCGAAACCATTTGAGTTGCTCAAACTTCTCATATCTGTGAAGCACAGAATGGAGTCTTACCATTTTGCTGGTACTTCTGTTTCTTTCATAGCATCCAGCAGATGTTGAAAACCCCAAACACTCTCTTTTCCATATGAAACTATTAAAAGAAGTTTTGTTCACATTCAGTCTTGGAAACAACTAGTAGTTTGGAATTCATCATTTTATCCTTAAGCTATCATGTATCAAACATGTAATGAAATTTTGAAACTCTAGGGAGGATTTTAAAACACAGCAGTGACTATCAGCCTTGACACACTCTGAGGTACTTAAAGCTAAGGTGTAAATGAAAGTTTAACTGACAAATTTCAGCGAATTCCCTGAAAGTGCAGCAATGCTGCTATGCACAGGCTCAGCCTTCTCACTGTATGATCTGGCTGAACTGGAAATTTGACTTTGAACCCTTTTTTTTGGTTCAAACTTGGAGAATTAGTAGTAGTTTCTATGAGGAATACACATAAAATGCTTAGTCTACTGTTTGAGCTGAAGGTTACATAGCTCTTAGTCACTCAGGATAGGTTGCCCCATAATCTCAGTGCTAATAAAACCTGGTGCAAATATTCTTTCTCCAGGCTATTAAACCAAGTTGTCTGCAATGCACCTACTGACTCATGCAGAGTTATGCCCTCAGTAAATGGACTAAAGTGGTTCCTCCTTTGCTAAAGGTTAAATTATGCTCTTGTTGGAAAAGATGATTTTACAACAAACTGAATTCAGAACATGAAGCCCATGACTTCTGGTGAAGTTCACCTTCTTATTTTGGTTGTGTTACTCCCATTCCTCTGTTAAGGTATAATGATAAATACGTTTATGACTTGTTTCAAAGTATGTGCACAAGACACAGCTGACCTGCAGAATTCCTTTAGCTAGATAGCTGAAATGCCTCTTTACTAGCTACAGCACAAGAGCACTTTTAGCAGTCACAGAAATGATTGGAATGTGAATTCCTGTTACCTGAATTGTATCAAGTTGTTGAAATTGTGTTATCTCAGTAGGTGACATTTTTTGAAAAGGAAAACGAGAAAAGAGGATATCTATGGAGACAAGCAGATCTGGCTTTCCCCTAACTCACAGTGGTCAGGCAACTCATCACACAAACTCAACAATATTTGTTGTCTTGCAGTAAAACCCTTACGATGTGCTTTTGTTTTCTGCGAAATGAAACAGTAGAATGATGCCTTACATGACTTCCAATTCAGAAGGAAAAACTGTGGGTTTACAGAGGTGAAATCTGAAGCAAATGAGCATGAAAAAAAAGCTAAAATATCTGCACTTCGAACTGTCTTTAAGTATTTATCCATACAACTAATAGAATGTGTAGTATTAGGAATAATGTAAGTATTATGGAAGTACCTATGAAACTACTTGGAAATCTATATTAGCTTCTCACAGTTAATATACAGTACAATAAAAACTTGCAAAATTGGATCAATGCAAAGCAGCAAGTAAGATACAGGTTCATTTGGAATCTGGAAGCATTCACTTGGTATCAAATGGCAGGTGTGGGGTAGGGAGTGTCTTTTCACCATGCTACACTTAACGGCATTTATACCCTACAGTAAAAACAAAGAAACCCAAAAAATCCAGTATTGAAAGGGCCTGAATTTATAATATACACCATCAGACACAGTGAAACCAAGGAAAGTGTATTTGCTGCCAGTGGGGTTTCCAGGACTTCACAATGCTCCTGGTCTTTTATTGTATTTTCTACCATAAAGAACATAAAAATCTACCTCCTAGCAGTCTATCGCATGTCAAATGTTTGAAAGTTACTGAAAACTAGACAAAATTCCCTTATTAGTAAGCACTTTTTGGGAAATTACAGCACCTTACTTTATGCTGGTATGTGTATTTTTGAGAAACTTGTAGTAGTGCTGAGCTAAAATGTTGTCATTTTCTTTTAAAACTTTAAAATGCATATTTTATTTTTCCAGTCACAAGATACCTTATGATTTTCACTTCCTTTTATCAGTGACAATGGTGGCGACGAAACAGGATACAGAAACTATGTCTTAACCAATCTGTCTTCCTAAGATACAGCTGTACAGTAGGTAAGTACCTCGATGAAAGTTTTGGTGAGCATAGGTTCAGTTATGCTAGTTCCACAGTTCATTAAAAACAAAAAGAATCAAGAAGTCAGTGTGGTTTGATTTCTGCCTGCTTTGAATATTCTGTTGGTCCCATACTGAACAGGCAGTGCAGAGAGCTTACAACTTGGAGAGAGTGACAACAGAGTGCCTCTGAGATTCCATGCCACCTTGCAATCAGAAGTTGCCCAGTGTAAAATGCTTCCTTGTGATTTAGGTTATTTACTTAAGGCATCTAATTTAATATTTTTTCTCAGAATTTTATCTAGCATGGAACAAACAAACAAGTTTATCAACCTCACAGAGATTTTTGCAATAGGAAGTTGGGTTTGGAGCATCTTCAGCATGAAGTGAAAAGATGGCTTGCTATCAGAAGTATAGGCCAGCCTGAAGAAAGACAGGACTCCAGTTTGGACACTCCCCAATGTATGTAATCGGGAAAACAAGAAATGGAAGAGTCTGGTAGGACATTCCAGTACTGGTGTGGGTTTTGTATTGTTTGTTTGTTTGTTTGTTATTTTTCCCCAGTGTGTGAAAGAACCTAACAAAAAGCTTCTGAGTGCAAATATATTTACAAAATAAGGCTGCGGTTAGGGTGTGTCTTCATTGTAATTATTGTGTAATATAAATATCCATCCCTGAGAAAGGAGAAGGGGGACACAATCCAACACAGTTGATTTGTAAGTGTATGTATGCTCATGTTGTGCAATCAGGTCTTAAAAAACTACTTTGTCACCTGAGGTGAATTAAGTGGGGATTTTTTTTTGTTTTTCTCATTTTCTTATAAAGAATAATCAAGAGGATCTGTAAATGGTTGCAAAATGTATGAAATATTGAGCTGCAGGAGTCATTAAGTGTAAAATGTTAAGTCTGTCCATGAGGTTAGAATAGCCACTTGTGTGGTTGGATAAAGAAAATTTGACTGGAAATTGCAGTGGGAGGCAGCTATTAAAACCAAAGGCAGGTCGGGAGCTGAGGAAGGGAAGCAACAGAGTTTTTTAAATGTGTGCAACACAAACAAAACTCCACATAAGGTGTTAGAGGCAAAGTGCTGACATCCAGTGCAGGTAGGTCTATGGGGAGCTGGCAGGGCTAATTGTTGGACTTGAGGCATCGGAGCGGCTGTAGTCACTGACAGACCCTGTTCTTGAGCTGCTTCCACTTCGCCTCTTGAGCATGCTTGGGTGGAAGTTGGCATGGCGGCGGGCGTGCTTTGTGAGGTGGTCACTGCGCATGAAGCGCTTCTCACAGAGCGGACAGCTGAACTTCTTCTCTCCAGTGTGGGTGCGGTAGTGGCGAGCCAGCTCATCGGAACGAGCAAACTTCTTGTTACACCCTTGCCAGTTGCATTCAAAAGGCCGTTCACCTGCAGGAAGCAAACATGGCACGATTAGGAGGGATAGTGGTGTCATCCATGGGTAGGTTTTGTATGCAAAATTGAGAATAAAAAAACTGGGAGCAAGGGAGATGCCACTTGGCACTTACTGGATGGAAAAGGTGGTACTATCTGCCAGAGAGGTAAACACTGCTATTCCAACCCATTAAAGAGTACTGTAAATCAAACAAGTGATACCTTATTTGATAAGTGGATCTTCAGGGATGCTGGGTTCCTGATCCTTTCACAGATGTCACATTTCTTCTCTCTTGTAGTCTGTTGGACTTCCAGACTTTTAAGAACATCTGTACTGAGCTCTCTGAAATGTTTGCTTATTCCTGAGCTACGGCATTGTTTTTGGGTAAGGCAATCGCCTTCAGATGTTTCTATTGCCCAAGTTAATTTTCTCTGTGTATGTTTTCATTACAAACGGGGTCAGCAATGTCCTTCACTAGAAGGACTACCCCATGAAATTAACTGCTTTCAGACAATGAAGGCAAGAGTTAACATGTAGTGTTTTGCTTCTGCTGTTGACAACACCATGAGGCACACCTTTTTCTTCTGACTAGTTAGCATGGCATCAGCTACCTTTTTCTATATCCTGCATTTGGTAGCCTGCAGTAGAGGCATGCCAGTCCGGTTCCTAAGGAGAGAAGAGGTTCTGGAGCGGGATTGTGTAAGATCTGTATTATCCGGTGTTAACAGCAAGGTGATGAAGGTATTGCACAACTTATCTCCCCCTCTCCTTACTGCACATCAGATCTGGATGAGAATAGTCAGGTTCCTACTCACCTGCCTGATTTGATGTGTTGATGATGGGGGTGATGACTTGTGTGCTGGGCCAAAGAAAATGTGGACTTTCTTCCACTAGTTCTCTACTGTTCCCTTTTCTCCCTCCTCCTTCTGGGAACTATTTTTTTCTTCTCAGTTGTCTCTAGTTTTAATTTGATACCTTCTTAGTAGTTGTCTTTAAGCACCTTGGCCAAATGCTTTCCCCTTCCATGCACTATCTGAAAGCTGGCATCACTCTGGTAGTGGTAATAAGTTCACTAGAGTGCTTCCCAGCTTTGCTGAGGTTTGGCAATACCTCCTCAAAGAAAAGCTCTATTGTGAGGAAATGTGGGATGCCTTGTGTAAAGATAGGAGAATCATTATTATTCGTAAAAAAATTAGGACAGTCTGGAACAAAGTTGCTGCAGGGTATTAATTAAGTGAAGACCAAGCTGCTGCTCCAAAACCACATGTGGAAATTCAGCCTGTCATCAGCCTCATCTCTCAAATAGAAGGGATGTGGTTTTCTGTGCAGGTAGGTTATATAAATGTTCTTTTACGGGCAGTAAAGCAATCAACAGAAGGAGAGATTAGATGAAGTGATTGCCTTAATCTCATTAGGGAACATGTGGCCACAGTTTGCATAAGCAGTAACCCATGGACATATACTCAACAAAGAGCTTTCACCATTAACATGGCTGTAACACAGTAAAAATTTTGAGCTCCACCTTAGGCAGTGCTGAAGTCAGGATTTTAGCTTTATACAATAAGGGCAGAATTTGATGCTGAAAATTAATGTGGAAATGTAATGAAACATCTTAAATATGACAGGAAACACATGAAGCATGTGAATGTGTACATCAAGAGTCAATGCTGCTCCTCAGCAGTGGGAGTATTTTTGTGTATCATGAGCATTCCTAGCAGGTCTCAAAGAGAGGTAAGTCTCCAAAAGATAAAGATGCTTGAAAATAACTGAATCAAAAAGCAGCTCAGGCTTCTTTCCTCTTCAGAGAGGCAGGCAAGAGATGTTCTTAAGAGATAAGGAATATTGCAAATTGTTATTATTTTACAGTTTTAAATAGGTTTGGATTTCCATGTTCCAAATCCCACCAAACTGTAACCTTTCTAGCTCCTCTGCCAAAGCATGTGGCATCACATAACTTGTGTTGTTACACAAGCTGATGGAAAGACATCACATTTGAGAATTAAATTCAACTGATCTTAACTGAAAATTACACAAGCAAGAACATTTTTGGCTCCTTCCTGAACTCCACCCGGTCAAAAAGAAAAAAAAAAAAGTGTGGAAACCTGCATTGAGAAACTTTCAGTGCTCACTGAGTAAAAGTGCATGAGATCTACAGGGGCACTGACTTCCAGATTCATATCGATAGCACAAACCTAGCTGCTCATGCTGCTCACATTGTCTGCCAGAGCAGACCACCAAAGGAACTACATAGTTGCCTAGGCTATAGAAACAGCATTGAAAAATGCACCTCTCTTCTCTCTTCTTGAAAAGGATTCAGAAGCAAGCAGAGCCAGTCACTTCTTACAATATTATATAAAGGTCCTTTGTATTATATATATTCAGACAACTATATGTAGTTATGGGAAACAAAAACTACAGAGATGGTGAAACCAGATGTGATGTCTACTGAGCTTCATTTGTACCATATTTTTGGTGCACTCTAGACTTTACCCCAATCCACACATAGTTTTAAGGACTCCTTTCCTGTATAAGTGACACTCCTGTGCAGACCCTGGAGTAATTTGCTTTCTGCTTCACTACTTCATCTGTATGATATCCATCATTTGAATAGCCATAAAAAAGGATATTAAGGTACTGTGTAGACGTAAGTATGCTTAAAAAATAGCCTAATAATGACTTCAATGCTAAATCAGGTTGAGACACCTGTGATGCCAACCATTGTCAGGACTGCAAACCAAAGATTTGCAAGCAATTGTATCTGAACAATTTGAAATGTGAAATCCCCTGGCCTACAGATTAGAGTATTATTAAGTCAAGCCATGTATTGGGATCTGTTTTTTCTATTTAACTCATGTAATAGCTCTGCACATTATGTTAGCATCTTCAAGCATATGCCAAGTAACGAAGAAATCTCTGTACTGGGAATTCCACAAGTGCCTACAAAACCAGAAACAGTAAGCCAGAGACAATTTTCTGTGATTTTAAAATCTGTTCTGCTGCTTCGCAGAACAGCACTGTACGTTGTTATGAAAGCAGACTAGAAACCTGAACATGCCACTGTGTGCTAATTTTATGTTTCTCCATTTTTAGGTACATAATTAAGGGTATATTTGGAAACACAGATCAGCAGACTGGGTGGGGAGGATGAGGGGCAGACAGTTAAATAGAGATGTGACTGAGGCAGCTTCCCTCCAAGAGAGGAAATGCTATCCTGGGAAAAAGCATTCATCCAAGCAGACTGACTTTCTTGAGACTGGCTGTTATTTAAAAGAAAAAAAAGAAAGAGAAAAGGTCATCCTTCAGTAGCACTGATATGTATGTACACATATTTTCACTTCTGTTATTCTCTTGTTTATAAACAAGCCCTTCTGCATAGCCAAAAGCCAAGCCCCTAACCTGAGTGAGAGAAAATAGTGCATAGCTGATGTTAGATGAATAATGGTTTCTTTATCAAGTATTTAAAAAGGGATCAAAAAAATCCAAAGCCTCATAATTCCAAATTCCTGTAAGTGGAAACCAGTTAATTTTAAATTAATGGTTTTGGGGGTGACATTTCATAATCAATGAAGCCAAATACAATCATGTTTTTGGCAACAGCTCTTGAATGCCTCAGCAACCATCACCCGTATCTAAGAGGTAGTGAATTCAGCAATATTAAGCTTGACTAGTTCCAGGAAAATGAGGAAGTTTTAGTAACGTTCTCAATGAAAAGAAGAGTTATAGGGTATATTGGACTGTAACTAGACACCAGAAACCCAACAATGGGAATGTGGTATGAATGTCCAAATCCAAGAAAAGCTTCAGTCAATGTTCGTGTGTTACTAGATGCTGGGACATAACACTTCCTGAGCCCCCTGGAAAGGCAGCACACAAGAATGAGGTTGCATTAGTACCTGCTAATACAGAAGCATGTGTGTTCCTGCTATTTTCATTATCTGTGATCAGACCTTTTTTTAGAAACTGGAGTTCTCAGTTTCCAGCAGGCACAGACTGAGGCATCAAGTACAAACTCACTTTGAACTGTGGGTATCTTTATTTTAATCTTAACAACTCCAGTCATTGAACTGATAAATGACTGGATCTTATGTTTTCTGTGGATACAGGAAACTACTGAGTAGGAGCTGCAACAGTGACCATAATATCCATTCTTTAAATCCTGGGTTTATTTTCTGTACTTCAACATTTTTACAGAGTTATTTAGACATACAGGAATATTTCTTGAAAGGTAAATTTCAAGCAGCAAGTTTCAATTTTAAATTAGTGTTACTGTTTGCTTTGTAAGTGCTTGTGTTGCTCCATCTGGGAGCACAAATTACACCATGTGACCTCTCCGTACAACCACAGCTAACTAGAACACCTCAAACAGCAAATGATGAACACACTTCAAGGTACCAGAATGGCAACGGGTCCAATACCAAAGACATGTAAGTTGTGCAAAATTCATCCCCTAGCCTTATCTACAGCCAGGTGCACCCGAGTACCAAAATAACTGATGTGGTTTGTCCCATGCAGCTATCTGATCCTTCCAAAAAAGATCACCGCTCACTTCCACCATAATGGAAACAATCTTTTGGGGGGTTTTGTTTGTATTGAACAGATTACATTCTGTCGGTTCTGTTCTAGGTCTTTATTTCAAACTTATTCAATAACAGTCTTCAATGTCAGTTTATAGTAATTTTAGCTACTTCACTGTATTTTTATCAGCCACATTTTTTTATTTGCTCCTCTGTTGTCAAGGCAGAATCATTCTAGCTTTTTACACTTTTTTGTTTTCCAGGATGCTCCATCACGTAATCTTTCTGCTATCTAAAATATGCATTCCATGGCTTTACTGAATCCCCTTTCAAACTGGGATGCCCAAGCTGAACTGTTCCGTGTGAGTTTCTATAGCTTAGGACTTTAAAAATTCCCATGTGTTTTATCTTACATTTTTGCACAGTTAATTAAGAATCTGAAATTTGAACTGCAGAAGAATTCAGCAAACCAAGAAGCCCACAGTAATTTAATTTTTGGTAGAATAAAATGTTCTAATTCATTTGGGACTTTTTTTATAACACTAAATTCCTTTAGCTCTGGGGACAACTTCAACACAATGACATATAGTGCTCGCTAATAAAGAAATGCAAAGTTTTTAATAGTCTTCCTTAACATGCCTTGGCAGCCTTCCCTCCATGAAGACTGGATGCCTGACATCTTTATTAGGTGACTTCCACTGGACTCTCCATGTTTATAAGCACAAGAGATTTTCAAAGACAGCCTATAGGGGTAGGTTAACCAGGCAAGTGTAAGGACTCCAAAAGTCTGCCCTCTCCTTCACACAGAAATCTTGGAATGGATTTTAGATCTATGCTGAGCATGTGACTGAAAATTTGCCCTCTAGCACTGCACTGTGGCCCAAGGAGTCTTTGGTGATTCCCTACAGCATCTTAAGTACAAGAAATATATTTTCCAGTGTTATGCTTTGGTTTCCTTGTAATTTGTCCTCCTACGTAATTTTGCAAACTGCTGGTAACTGATGCTTTCAAAATGTACAAAAATGCACTGCTGGCAATGCAAAGAAGCAACCAACCCAAAGTACAGGACAGAAAGGCCAAGTACCTGATGTTTACTGTGATCTTCTCTGGAGTGTTACAGCTCATAGTGTACAGATACATAGTGAGTTGTATTTGGTTTTCTTCTAACTATATTTATGTTGTAATAGCTCTCTCTTTCTTTCTCTCTCTCTCTCTCTCTCTCTGCTGAAGGGTACTCCAAAAATTAGATAATCCTGCTGGACAATTGAGATATTCTTTCCCATCATCAACTGAAGACCATAAAGTCATTTAAAAATCCTTCAGGAATTCCATGGTTTGAAATTCACATCTGTGTTTGTAGACCTCAGCACTGAGAGTCTGATGCTACTTGTTTTACTGTACCTTTGTACTAAAATACATAAAACTTGTCATCACTAATATCAGCTTTTCTCCTGTGTAGTTTGTCACTTCATGTTTTCTGAAGAGTTCATCCTTTATCCCTTCCTTAGACAACCCCTCCCTGTTTTATATGTTTCTTCCTCTTTTGCAACTACAAAAAATGCATTGCAGTATGCAAGGCTTGTGAAGCTCTGAGTTCAGTTATACAGACTACATCAAAACTGAGACTGTGTAAGCATAGCTACCTTTGTGTATATTAAATATGTTCAAGAGCTTTTCTCTTGAAATACAACTGGATACAAAATCACTAAGGTGAGTTTAGCCATCAAGATTCCTTCCTTTCATGATGTGGTCTAGATACATAGACACAAATGTTTGAAATACATACTCTCTATTAGAAGTAACAGAAGAGGCTGAATTAGTTGAAAAAAAAACACTGAACCAAAGGCAATTTTATAACTTTCTGTACAGTTAATTAACCTTAATCCTATGCTTACCACTTAGGTAAGAATGACTCCATTTGATGCATCAGTAGAATCTAGTGGAATAGCAAAGCCAGCAGAAAGGCAACTCTGGAATTACAGGCTGGGAAAGTGATAGTGAGGGAACAGAGATGTGTGTAATTTGAAAAACACTCTGATGGTTTAGAGATTCCTCATCATCAATGTGAGAAAGGAAGCTGGCCATTAAAACCTCTATTGTGAATAGAAATTAAACTAAAAAAGCTCTGCAAATAGAGCCTCTAAATACATCAGGGGGTGGGGGTGGTGTCCTTTTCCATTTGTCAATCACACTTTTTAATAAATATATTTCAGAATAATACTGGGATTGCAAAATCAAAAAATCTAAGTGCTAATCAGCAAATCTGACCTACTATTGCATCAGCCCAGTAAAGGAATTCCAGCCTAGAATTCTTGCTTTGAGCCAAAAACTTGTTGTTGAAGAGTCTTTTTAATTTTACATATAAAGCTGTGTCTTCAGCATAGGTCAGAGAAGTCTGGCTTCTTAAAACATAACAGAGACTAACACCAATGAAGCTATGTGGGACTTCGTTCTTTTTCTGTCATGTTGACAAGCCAATTCAAACCTTTTAAAGTGTCAAGGGGCTAGAGAAGGGCTCTCCAAATGTATGTAATAATGAACACAATTTTTTTATCAAGTAAGGCCACTTAAAACTTTAAATGGAAAGTACTAATATGAACCTTGATGAATATATATGCTGGACTGAGATCATGTTTAGTCATTTGCTGTTACTTTTGTTCTAGCATGCTGATTTGTTGTTTGTTACAAGCTGACGATTTCAGCTGCACCACTCATCCTCTGTTAAATAAGGTGATTAATGAAAATGTTATGCAGACAGCAACTGAAGCCAAGAAAGAAAACTTCCCAGACCTGATTCTCCCTTCTCCAGGAGGGGAAAAAAATCTTACCCATCGCTGAGACAACTGAACCAAATGCATCTACAGGGAATGCGTAGTTAAGGTACCAACAGAAACATAATGTTTCCATCAAACACTGCTCTCTGGATCCTTCCTATGCTACCTCAGAATTGCTCACACTGTTAACCAGCCCACTCTGCAAACTCGAACAAGCTCCAGATAAGACATCTGACTCTTAGCAGCTGCATGGTAGCTGTAAAGAGTATTACACTCCTTGGCATTGTCTTTCTCCAGCGCTCTCTTACAATGAGGGAAAAGAGATTACATGCTCGCTATAGGACACTACCCCCTCTTTTTCCAATCTGTGCTACCTCTTAAAAACCTAGGATTACGTCCCCACAGAACTGACATGTTAACTGTTCAGCCAGTCATTCTCAGCTGTGTGGTCCTTAGCAGAATTAACCAGTAGGTACTTATGGGACAAATGGTAGGAACCACAAATGCAGCACACTGATGTCTACATGTTGATACTGCTGCTTTGGAGATTCTCTTGTGAATGTATCTCCATAGATAACTGTGCTCCTTTTTGATCAAGGTGATGACCCATCTTTCCCCAGCCTTCAGTGTGGGACATAGGTCTTCTAACAACCCAAGGGTCTCCTCTCTCTACCTGAAAATGCTGTTATTTAGTCCTCATTGGAAAATTCTGGTTAGCTTTTTTAGATGATCTTAAGTTTGAATTTATCTGAGTTCCGATTGCTGTGGCAGGGAGGAACTTACTAGTTAAATCTAAAAACTTGAACGCTTGTATTGCAAGGATGTTTGAAATCAAGCTAAAACATCATAAACCATCCCTGTCTGTACAGTGAATATAGAAATGACCTATGTATTGGTTTAGACTGCTTTCAATGAAAGTCTTTCTCATAAATAATTTTTTTTGGTGGCATTCATTAAAAAAATCACATGGAGAAGTTCCTGATCTCTGAAATCTTTTAAGTGGGAAAGTTATTAGAATCACAGAATCATAGAATAGGGTTGGAAAGGACCTTAAGATCATCAAGTTCCAACCCCCCTGCCATGGGCAGGGACACCTTACTCTAAACCATATCACCCAAGGCCTCGTCCAACCTGGGCTTGAACACTGCCAGGGATGGAGCATTCACAACCTCCTTGAGCAACCTATTCCAGTGCCTCACTACCCTCACAGGAAAGAATTTCCTCCTTATATCCAATCTAAACTGCCCCTGTTTAAGTTTTAACCCATTAACCCTTGTCCTGTCACTACAGTCCCTAATGAAGAGTCCATCCCCAGCATCCCTATAGGCCCCCTTCAGATACTGGAAGGCTGCTATGAGATCTCCACGCAGCCTTCTCTTCTCAAGGCTGAACAGCCCCAACTTTCTCAGCCGATCTTCATATGGGAGGTGCTCCAGTCCCCTGATCATTCTCGTGGCCCTCCTCTGGACTTGTTCCAACAGATCCATGTCCTTTTTATGTTGAGGACACCAGAACTGTACACAGTACTCCAGGTGAGGTCTCACAAGAGCAGAATAAAGGGACAGGATCACCTCCTTCGACCTGCCGGTCATGCTCCTTTTGATGCAGCCCAGGATACGGTTGGCTTTCTGGGCTGCAAGCGCACACTGAAGCGGCTCATGTTCATTTTCTCATCAACCAGCACCCCCAAGTCCTTCTCTGCAGGGCTGCTCTGAATCTCTTCTCTGCCCAACCTGTAGCTGTGCCTGGGATTGCTCCGACCCAGGTGCAGGACCTTGCACTTGGCATGGTTAAACTTCATTAAATAGGTAATTAAATAGGTAATGATGAAACATATTCATCTGGTGTGAACTGTGGGTAAATTTATGCTGAAATCCTGAAACTTTGGCTCCCCAAGCTTTACCCAGCACTTGCATGGATAACTGCAGAGAAGTAATCATATGACCCCATGAATCAATCTTTTCTCTGTTGACACATCAATGATCTTTTTATTATTATATTCTACTAAAAACAGAAAAGTGCTTGTAAAAGCAGAGCTTATCATATTAATGAAAGGTTGTTCTGCTATGTGAAATAACAGACTAAAGGATTATTCATCTAAACTGAAACCTGTACTTTGTTTATCTGAATTCTGGAAGATGTTGAACATCACTTGCCACCAACTGAAATCCACATCCCTTGGCATGATCAGACATTGCGAGTAGGTTATGACATTTTATGTGCACAGCATCTCCCAGGAGCTAAGGATAGGATGAAATTTTGTTTTGCCAGAAGCCGAGTAAACAGAAGTTAGAGAAGTTGCCTTTGGCTGCAACTGTGAAATGTCTCTTTCTGAACTTTTGAACTGTTTAATCAACAACCTCAGAGTATCACAGCATGTATGAAACCTGGGACTTCAGCTTTTATAAGCACAGTTAAAGCTGTAAAGCTGAGTGGAAAATCTGCTCTGAGAGCTTAGTGCAACTCTATGGAGGAGAGAAAGGAGTGGGAATTTATTTTTAAACCTGAATTAACAGATTGATTAATGAATTGTTGTTCCAGAGAGCAAAGTGGTGTTGAAGTAGTTTATGAGCAGCATCAGCCAATGGCCATATGGAGCATCCAGCTTCAGGGAAACACCTCTAGAAAGTAGTTTTATGGGCTGATAATCAAAGTGTTGCTTGACACCAGGCACCTACCATCTGAGATATGCATAAACCTCTTGCATACGCTTCAGAAAATCTGCATAGATTGTAAAGTCAATCTTCCT